TGCAGAGGCTTGGCTGCTGGGTGGGTGCACTCCACCATTCTCACAGCCAACAAGGGGATCTTCCCCACGTGCGGTACACCAGCACCGCCATTTGGTCCTAGTGAAGGGGAATTGCACAAAGATCATCTGAATCTGGATGTTGCCTTTAAGAGCTCATCACAATCCAGAAGGGGAGTATGTCAGATGTGGAAAGGGCCAGAATTCAGCTGTAGGAGTGTGTAAGTATAGACAAAGTGAGAACACAGGGAAAGGAAAAATGACTCAACTGGGCAGGCTGCTAGTGGATCAAGGGAGGCATTAGAAAGGCATGGGCAGCCACAATGGCGATCAGATGGAATCTGGACCTGTGAGAGAGAGGGGATGAAGGAAACAGGAGGGAAACTCAGGCAGAGAGAACAGCATCGCAAATACTGCTAAATGTGGAACGGAAAACAGAGCCCTCGTGGGGCTGGGCATGGGACAGGTGAGTCCTGACACTGTAGGCAAAAGTGAAAAAGGTCGACATTTGAGTTCCGAGTGGCCCCTTTCAGGGACTAGGACAACTGAAGATTTTCTGCCTGTACTTCACTCTACTGCCCCCCAGATCTAGCCAGGTAGAGCACCCTCTATATTCTCTCTGTCTCTCTCCATCTCTCTCTCTCTCTCTCTTTAATTTATAAGCTTTTTGGCCCTCTCATACTCTTTTATCTTGCTAATTCTTACCTCTCCTCCCTCCCACAAGCCAATCACCAGCCATCTTCATTTGAGTTTTGAGCGGCCCCTTTCATTTTTGGCTTTAATTAAAAAAAATTATTGAAGGGAACCAGCAGTTAGTGTAATGGCTATGTCGCTGGACTCCCATGTAGTCGACCGCGGTTCGCGTCCTGGGCCCGGTGGCTTAGAACCCACACCGGGCATGTGTGCGTGCGTGCCCAAGATCCCGAGAGGAGAATGGAGGAGAAGGGATTGCAGCGTGGCTATACCCCCTGGGGGGTGATTTCTTGCTTTCTGTCTCTCTGTCTCTCTCTGTCTGGCGAGCGCACGCGCCCTACAGTGAAAATCTCTCCAAAAATTATTTTTTTTCTTTGTTTTCTTTTCCTTTTCTCTCTTTTCTGCTCAGCCTCACACACTGAGTTTCTAGGTGCACAATAGCCAAATATCAAAACACTTTTAGAGTCAGAGTAAACCTCAATTTCCATGGAATCTGCTGCACAAAGGGAGAAAAATGGTACTTCTTAGAGATTGCAGATCACAGCCTTCTGCATGCATCTAAATGCTCAAATTTAACTCCAAAAATTAGGAAAAATCATATAACCCATAAGATGACCAGAAACCACCGCAGAGGCACAAGAAATATGAGAGGCCAAGAAAATCTCTCTCCCCTGAGGGAAAAAAAATAACTCCCTCACCCTCCACAGATAATACAAGAGAACTCATGGAAATGTCAGATAAAGAATTTAGAATATTCATAGTGACAAAGCTACCAGAGATGCAAGAAAAGAGAGCAACGAACTCCAGAAGATGCCAGAGAAAAGAGACAACGAGTCTCAGGAGATGAGGAAGTTCTTGCACAATCTGAAAAAGGAAATACACACCATAAAAAAGAATAAAATGGAACTGTTAGAGATAAAGCCTGTAATATAGGAAATCAAAACCTCCCTTGAAAGTATTAAAAGCAAATTAGATCATGCAGAAGATCAACTTTCAGATGTAGAAGACAGAACCTCTGACCTAGAAAAATTCACTAAAAAGATTGAGAAAATAACCCAAAAAAGTGAGAATGATTTACGAGCAATACTAGATACCTTTAAACACCCAAACATCCAGATAATCGATATCCCAGAAAGGGAAGAAAATAATAAAGAAAATAATAAATATATTCCATGAAATACTGGAAGAAAACTTTCCAAACTTAGAGAGGCGTTCAAATATCCAGATCCAGGAAATACAGTAAGGACCCCAAATAGAATCAACCCAAGAAGATCTTCTCCAAGGTACATCATAGCCAAGTTGACCAAAACCACAGAGACAAGATACTAAAATTGACAAGAGAGAGACATCAAGTTACTTTCAAAGGTTATTCCATAAGGCTAACATCAGATCTCTCATCAGAAACAATGCAAACAAGAAAAGAGTG